GTGTTCGGGGTTGTTGTTTGGGAAGGAAAAGAGCAAAGCAGAATAACTAGCGTTCATTTGGAATCTAGACAGAGTGCAGAAGAAATGTGGCTTACACACGTGGTTCTCAAGTAGGAGTACACATCAGTCCCGCTGCAAGAGGAACAAAGGGGGGCAGTTACCCTGGGGCGCAGCGATTCAAAAGGGTGTTGCTGCCACCATTGTAGAAACAAGGGAGGCAGGAGCCCTGAGCCCTTTAAATCGGCACCGGAGCACTGTGTGGCGCACTGCTGGTGACGCTGAGGGGGGAAGCATGGCACATTCCAGTCAGCTCTGAGGTCTGGCTGCCCCCAGCTCCTCCCCTTTTGTCCAAGGACCCACCCCTTCTGTTGAGGCCCCGTTCCTTCTGGAAGTGTGGAGCCCCTCCTCCCCTTTACCCAGGGGCCTAGCAAATCAGTCGGCCCTCCTGGTACATGTATTCCGGGGGGTATGCAGAGGTCTTCCAGGGGCTAAATCAACTCATTACGTATTTGCCTAGATGTACAACAGGCTACCTAGAAAGCTCTAGCAAAGTCAGAACAAACTAAAATTTCATACAGACAGTGACTTGCTTCTACGGCTCTATGTACTATACACAGAAATATAAGTACAATGTTGATATTCCAATTGACAGATTTTATAATGATATGGTACAAATGAGAAAGTTAGCATTTTTCAGTAATACTGTGCTGCGACACGTATTTTGATGTCTGGTTTTATGAGTAAATAGTTTTAAAGTGAGGCAAAACTTGGGATACACAAGACAAGTCAGACTCCCGTAAGGGGTACAGTCATCTGGGAAGATTGAGAGCCACTAGCTTACACTGATCTTTGTGTTCTGAGAGCATAAATCAGGCTGGAGTAAGAGGGTCCAGGTCCCGACAGGTATTGTGGGTATAATTTAAAGTGTGTGTGTGTATGAGAGAGAAGGGGGGAAATGCTTTCTCTTACACCCGCTTGCTAATTCATTTTCCTACTAATCACACATATGCTTAATCGACTCACTTCCCTTGTACATTACACTTGCTTTGCACAGTCCCTGTATGGCACTGCAGTTCAAGTCACATCACTTAACCACTTACCTCTGTTTATTACAGTCATCTTATAATGGATGTATAGTTTACCTCACATTTAGAGCTCTGCTATACTGGGACTAGGGATTGCTTTGATAGTTTGACCTGCTTTCTCCAGGCACCGTTTGGCTGGATATGGTCCAGAGTGCTAAATCCGTCAAATTTCTGTTCTCCTATTTTGTCACTGGCATTAAGGAAGTCGGTGGAGTTACTCCAGGTTTACCACTGTGTAAATGAACAGAACTTGTGCCTGGAGGGATGGATTGAATTATTTGTACTGCTGGTTCCAACTACAGGTTTGGGAGTCATGTGTCTCTCCCACCAGGGAGTGTCCTCCAAAGATTTATGAGTTGATATTGAATTACCTGGAAAGGTTCCTTTTCTTTAAGAGGAAAGGTATCAGTTACTTCTTCCGGCCCCCAGCGGTTGGATAGGAAGGAGTTGCAGACAATTCTGGAGTCCGAGAAGCGAGGGTTAAAGTGGAAAGCAATTTGGTCTCCTGCATTGCAGAGGAAATTAATTTCAAACCTAAAAAATGAGAGAAATGAGTGATTCAAACCCATGAAGCTTGGCAGCTGGGTCCCATGAGACACCCTGATGCTCTGAAAAATGGCTGCAAAGAATGCTCTTACATATTTGCATTGGAGCTTGTTTCGCCTTTAACGATCACGCTCCAACCAGGACACAGCCCCTCTGGGTATGATGCCTCGAACTGTGAATAACAAGAAAAAGTCATTGATACTCTCAGCAATGAAGAAAGACAAGGTGGAGAGGTAATGCCTTTTATTGGACTAACTTCTGTGGGTGAAAGACACGCTTTCCAGCAATAAAGAAACATATCTCCATTCTCTCCCCTGCCCTCTCTCCTCTTCCCCATTCCCACCGCAGTTTTATCACCAGCTTACTTTTCATCCCCTCTCTCTCTCCCTTTCTCTCTCGCTCTCATCTTCTCTTTATCTTTTGCCTTGTCTCCCTCTTTCGCTCTCCCTTCCACCTCATTGTCACACAGCAATGCCATAAAATAAGCATAAAGCAGCTTTGCCTGTTTTGCTCTCAGAATTCCCTTTTCTTTCTGATCCAGCCCACGTCTTTATAAAAGATGTTTTGGGGCAGCAAATCCTGTTTCATCTGCTGATAGTTAAGAAATTGCTGCTCTGCACCAACTGGCAGAGAGACACCAAAAACCTGCATAAAGTCCTACTTGGTATGAAATCAAAGAAATCCTTCTTCCTCCTCCCCATCCTTAACAATGCAAAGCCTGAGCATGAGGCTTGGGTTGCTTTGAAGGATGGTTGGAATGGTAGGAACTGATCGGAGGGGAATCTAATAGTGAATCATAGACATGTCATGCTAGCAGGGCTCTCAAGAGGTCATCTAGCCAAGCCCCCCATATTAAGGCAGCGTGAACTATACCTAGCCCATCCCAGACAGGTGTTTGTCTAACCAGTTCTTAGACGCCTACAATAAGGAGGATTCTGTAGCCTCTCCAGGTAACCTTTTCCAGTGCTTAACTTTCCTTGTCGTTAGACAGTTTTTCCTATTATCCAACCTAAATCTCCCTGTGTTGCAGACTAAGTCAATTGCCTCTTGTCCTGGCCTTGGTGGACAAGGAGAGCAATCGATAACCATCTCTCTGTATAACAATTATTTACATATTTGAAGACTGTTCCTCCTCAGCCTTCCCTTTTCTCTAGACTAAAGGTGGCTGGTTCTTTCAACCTTTCCTTTAAGGTCATATTTTCCAAACCTCTTCATTTTTGTGGCTCCCTTCTGGACTCTCTCCTGTTTGTTCACAGCTTTCTTTGAGTCACTGGAACATGGGCAGCTGGCTAAGTGCCCCTCAGTCACTGTTATCCAGGCTTTTCAAGCTGGGAGCTTTGCCCAGACTTGGGAGTTAAACTATGCAAAAGGCAAAAGAGCAAGTTTGTTCCTCAATAGCCCACGTTTCCATTGAATAACCCATAAGAAATGCTTGATGGCCCCTGCCTTTTCTGATGTCCTTATGAGCTGACTCTCTTGTGCCACACATAGGGCCACCCAACAATACCATTGAAATGCAGCTGGCTCTAGTACAGATGGAGGGCAGGAGCAAAGGGACTCACAGCTCAGTGCAACACAATGGGGAAAAGAGGAATTCTGGCCATCAAAAATGAGCCAAACCACAGTTCTTATGGAAAGTACCCTGGGGTCTGTCAAGACTATGCTGAGCTGATGGGGACTGAGGTGTTAGTCTCCATAGTGAACTGCTTGGGCTTAGGGTACCTTCCTCATAAGGATTTGGAACAGGAAGCTACAGAAAGTGATGGATTAATCTGAAACAGCTCTCTCTCTCTTTCTCTCTCTCTCTCTCTCTCTCTCTCTCTCAGTTATCCCCCAGGGAATTACACCTGCTACCCTTCACTAGTGATATTGCCACTCTACTCCCAGCTGACCATCGCCTGGTTCTGTGTTTGTACATCACCTAGCACAAAGCGGTCTTGGTCCGTGGATGGGAATCCTAGATGCTATCACAGCAAAAATAATAAATAATGATTCACTCCCATGATTATTTTATATTTCTTCTTCCCCTCCCCCTCTGCTCATCCCCTAACACTTGGAGAAATCGCTCTTGGTTTTGGCAGATGTTTTGGGTCTCTTCTCCAGCCAGAGTTTTTATTCCCACTTGTGCAGAGTGCTTGGTCTCTCCTTCTGGGGCTTCACTTATCCCTAATATCCCCTTACTCTGCCACTGGATTCCATGCCAAGCCATGCTTAGGGTCCACCGGACACACACCTCCTGGGGGCAGCAGCTGAGACACAATCATCTCAGACTCAGCTCCACTGTTAATCTCTAGCTCTCTGTCCTGCTACTTCTAAAGATGGAGCCTACAGAACACATTACCACCATTCTCATACATGCTGCTGTTTGGTCATGCACACATGATTGTGCATGCGAATGGACACATACATACCTGCATGCACACACAGAGGATATGATAATACTCTCACATTTTGCCCTCTTTGACTTGGGTTCAAGCAAAGCTGATTCTAAGGTGCAAATGGGGTAGAAGTCATGATGGAGACCCAATCTGGGCTTCACTTGGATCTCTGCCCTAAAGTCATGATAGCACATACAACAAAACTCACCCCATGTCCCCACAGCAGCCCCTCCCTCTTTGTTACTGGCTGGGTGAGAGAGCTTATTTTAAGATGCAAAAGGAAAACACCTGCTTGGGTTGCTCCACTAGCCACTGGGCTAGATTCTGATCTCAGCACAACCCTGTAATTCTGTTAAGTCAGTGGTGTTAGTCTGGATTTACACCACTGTCACTGAGACTACAATCTGGCCTGCTGCCCTAGAACATCCTTCTGGACTCAATTATAATTGAGATACATTTTGGGTTCACTACCGAAACAGCCCTATAAACAGAACTCACATGTGTCTGTAGGTTTCTAGCTTGGCTCTGGCCAGATTTTTCCCTCCCAGCTGCAAAGCTGTTTCTTTACTACCCTGTGTTTGAATTACCTGAACCCCAGACACTGACGACCAGTTTAAGAGGGTGAATTATGCCACATGCTGATCCCTCTCCCTTACCCGCAGTGCCATCGTGCTCGCCTGCCCTTCCACCGTCAGCCCAACCACGGGGGCATGTGTAGCCAGCGAGGCCTGATATAAGGGTTGCATGTCAGGAGACCACATGGGTAGGTGGGCGTGGTGGGGGATTATCAGAGTTAGCAGAGTGAGCTAGCCTCTTAGCCCTTAGTGTGCAGAGAGGAGGGGAGAAATCCTTTCCCTGCCTGCCTTGCAGAGTCAGACTATTCATTCTCTCCGCACTAATCCAGACTTTGTGTTCTGGCTAACAATAGCAACAGCAACAAAATAATCCAGAATGGTGCTGTGTTGGCATCATTGTATTAGTGCGAGGCCAGGCTAGAGAATTTGAGTTGAAATCCCAGATATCGCTTGGTCTTTAGTGCACTAGGGCTCTCTCTGGCTAGCATGGGGGGAGTCTCCGGAGTGGGAGATGGCTAGGAAGAAATCCCTGCGGGTTAATCCACTGGGAGATTCTTCCCTAGACTGAGACAAGTCTCCTGGGCAGAGAGAGATGGCTGGGGAGAAATCACCTGGGGAGTGGAGGGTTGATTCTACTGGTGATCCATGCCTTGGACAAGAGTGGACTTCAAGAGGAGATGTGCTTTGGGAGATACTAGCTGCGCCTTTTTCTCTTCGTGCTCTGCTGTGTTGCCCCCGCCAGAGGGTGATGATCTCTGTGCATGTGGGAGGAATTTTGCCCATTTGGTTTTCTCTCATTCTTTGTAGTTTGTAATCCTGGTTTAGAATCAGCTGATCCGAGCTCTGTCAGGGCGGCTTTTCCACCTCACAGCCCCCTTGCTGCTTCCGACAGGCAGACCCAGACAGAGCCTGGCTTGTCAGCAGTGTATTAGGATTTAACACTCCGCTGATACCAGCAGGTTGCATTGACCCCTCTCTTTGCACAGGACAATCCACGTATTTGGGGGCTGAGCAGATATTTCCCAGAGCTGCATGGCACCAGCAATGGACAGCAATCAAATGAAATCTGAGCACCATCGCAGGGACTGGTGTAAGTGTTGCTGGCTGCGAGGAGATCTCACCGCAAATCCAATTCTGCCTCTCACAGTAGGGGTCACGGTAGGGTCACTGAAGGGAATGGGGCAGGAGTACTGTACTATGTACATCGGTGGGGGGCGGTATGGGAGAATCAGAGCTTTTCCTATCCCCACCTCCACCAGCAGGAGGCACTGCAGAGCAGCCTTTTCCAGATGTATCACTCTGGAGTAGCAGTGCAAGCACAGGTGCTGGAACTAGGCAGGTAGGGGCCTGCTGCAGCACCACCTAGCCTGAAGTGGTTTCCATTATATACAGGGCTTCCTGTTGGGCTCCATGGCTCTCAGCACCCCCACTATAAAAACTCTTCCACCAGCCCTGAGGGAGAGTTTTCCCCATGCTCCCCTCCTGGACAGCAGGTCGAATGGGGGCACAACTGGTTTTATAGCGGGGGTCTAAAGGTGCAAACCATTATTACTTCTTCAAACCCACAGCACTGCTAGTCCCAGCATCTGTGAGCTGTGGTCATCTGAGTTTATTTCAGCTGGAAGTATGGTGAGGATTTGCCTATTTAACATATATCTCCATGAATTAACTTCAGGGAATACCGCTATGGTTCCCAAAGACAGAATTTCAGATAGGAATGACCCACCCCCACACCCCCAATATGTATTACTCTGTCTATAAGGTGATTAAGTACAACAGCTGCATATTGCAAGATTTTTTATGTGGCTGAATAAATGTACTCCTGAATCTAAGCTTCCAACATAAGCCCCTAGCCCTTCTAGTTGCAACAATAGCTAAACATGTGAAGAGAAGGTAATTAGATGCAGTGACGCTAATAATAATACCTGGCTCTTATTTAGCACTTTTTGTCAGTAGCTCTCAAAGCCATTTACCAAGGGGGTCAGTTTCATTATCCCCGTTTTACAGATGAGGAAACTAAGGCAAAAATAGATAGGAGCCTGGCAATGGAGCTGGGAATAAAATCCCATTCTCTTCAGTCCCAGTCCAATGCTCTGTCCACTAGGCTACACTGCTCCACTCCCCACACTAAAGCATACTGCCTGGGTCTGCAGTCAGCCTGAAACACTAGTGCTGAAAGAAGTGTGAATTGCTTCTGTCCACTTCAATGGGACTGTTAACAAAGGACTAACAACAATTAAATAATTAACCTGTGCTCCTTCAAGCCGAGCTATCTAGCCACCCTGCTTATCCGTCATTGCTCGGGTACACTGGCAGTTATTGGGCCGGGGTGCAGTGAGGCAGTGGTTGCTATCAAGGGTAGTTGAGGTAAGAAATGAGGAATTCACCACCCCAGCACAACCCACAGGTCTGTGCCTCCTCCATCCCTGCCCAAAAGGCAGAAAGCAAATAGATGCATCTTCTCCCAAGCACCAAACTGCAGGGGGGTGATAGATGGCAGGCACATTCCAATTCTGGCACCAGACCACCTCATCTCTGAGAATATTAACCACAAGGGGTGTTTCTCCAGGGTTCTGCAGGTGCTTGTGAATCACCGTGGTCATTTCATGGACATTGACACAGGCCGGTCCAGAAAGGTACAAGACTCATGCATGTTTCAGATCACTGGCCTGTTCAGGAAGCTGCAAGTGGGGATTTTCTTCCTGGACCAGAAGATGACTATGGGGGAAGTGGAAATGTCCACTGTGATCCTGTGAGACCCTGCCTCCCCTTTAATGCCATGGCTCATGAAACTCTACACAGGGAGCTTTGACAGCAGCAAGGAGTGATATAAGTGGGCCACAGTGGGAGATTTCCTTATGCCATTTGGTGATCTCCCTGTACCACTTGGAAGGATTTACCATATCACCTGCAGGGTTCCCCTCTGCCAGCTGAAAATGTTCCCCCTTCCAGGTGAATGATCTTTCCATAGCAGGGGAAGGGGTTTCTGTGTCAGATGAGGGATGCCTTGTGCCATCCTGTTGTCTCCCCAATTCCTTGTGCTTTTGGGCTGCTAGGTCTGAGATTTGCAGACTTTCAGTTGTTGGGATTGCTAGTGGCAGGCTGCTGTGCATTGCCCTCTCTTGATGGCGCAGACGCATAAGAAACACATGGGCTGTGTCTACATTGGCACCCTTTTCTGGAAAAGGGATGCTAATGAGACCAGTCGGAATTGCAAATGCCCCGGGGATTTAAATTTTCCCTGCGGCATTTGCATGAACATGGCTGCCGCTTTTTTCTGGCTTGGGGCTTTGCCGGAGAAAAGCGCCAGTCTAGACAGGCATCTTTCGGAAAATAAACCCATTTCCGGAAGATCCCTTATTCCTGATTTTAAGTAGGAATAAGGAATCTTCCGGAAAAGGCTTTATTTTCCGAAAGATACCTATCTAGACTGGCGCTTTTCTCCGGCAAAGCCCCGAGCCGGAAAAAAGCAGCAGCCATATTCATGCAAATGCCGCGGGGAAAATCGGCAAAGCCCCGAGCCGGAAAAAAGCAGCAGCCATGTTCATGCAAATGCTGCGGGGCATTTGCAATTCCGAAGTGTCTCATTAGCATCCCTTTTCCGGAAAAGGGTGCCAATGTAGATACAGCCATGCTGTATTTCCCCACTGGTAGCCTGATATGTTCCATTACTGATCTGGCAGGAATTCATGGTTTGTGGGTAGAATGCCTTCACCGTTCTGTGTCTTTTTTTCCTTGCATGCAGGCTGATGGGTTTTTTAAAGTATTTGTTTTGATTCCAGCAGGTAAAGCTTTGAGCTTTTTCCCCAGGCTCTGTTGCCCTTGACTGATCGTTAAAAACAGTCCAACAGTGACACAAACCAACAACCTTTCTCAGTGCTCAAGAAGGCAGGCCATGAGATGTGCTCATCATAGCTTCCACAAAAAGCGAATCCCCCTCCCAGCTAAAAATCTCCTACCCACCCTCATCCAAGCCTCACCCACTCTCCAAGGGTACGTCTACACTACAGCGTTAGTTCGAACTAACTTAGTTCGAATTAGTTAATTCGAACTAAGCTAGTTCGAACTAACGCATCTAGAACTAAAAACTAGTTCGAACTAGCGTTTTGATAGTTCGAACTAGCGCGTCCACACTGATTGGACGCAGGGGGGCATTTAAGGGCAGCTGAAACCGGTTCTGGCAGGGCATCAGGTCAGCAGTTGCTTTGTGTGGCTGCTGTCTGAGGCTATCTGAGGCTCGTGCTTAAAGGGACCCCCCTGGACAGCCGGTTCTCAGCTTTTCCTGCTTGCTTGCCAACCTCGCCGAGGGACAGCAAAGCATCGGTCTCTGTGCCCGTCTGTGTCGGTGCTTCTCTTCGGGGGGGACCGCCGCAGGTGG